TAAGATATATTACCTATTTTCAAGAACTCATAGTCTACTTAAAGAGAAAGATGCGTAACAAATAACTATAATATATTACGTTCTGTAAGGTAATTCTGGGCAAAATTTATGGCTAACTTTGCCTCAAGGTGCCAGAAAAGGCAGTATAGAGGTAGGAGTTAACTTCTGAGCTTGGTCTGAAGCAGTATCACATAGCGGTTAATGGACTTGGAGTCAGCCCAGGGTCTACTCGACCTCTCAAATCTATTAGCTGTGTGAAGTTAGGTGAGGTTATTCTTTATCTCTAAGCATCAGTTTCCTCACTGTCCAACGCCCCTAATGATACTCATCTCAGAAGGTTGTGGAAATTATATAATAGGATGCATATAATGTATAACACACTGCCTGGGACACTGTAGGCGCTTAATAAACAGCAGTAATCAGCTGATGTTATGTTCTGTTATACGGAGGGCACCTTCAGGATAGGTCTTTGCTAAAGGCATAGTATGCCCTGTGGCACAGTTCATGCACACTTACAACATGTTGAAGAAAAAGCAATAAACTAAGTGATGCAGTAAATTTAATGCTCGGCCCAGAATGAGTTAAAATTTTACTGAAGAATGTAAGTAGACCCAGATGAAGCTTCCTTTAGCCTGCTAAGGAGTTGAAGTTGATTCTGTTGTAGCTGAAACTTAAAATATTTTTTATTAGGAAAGAAGCTTAGTCTGCTTTACATTCAGAGGGCTGCGAGAGATGCATTGCAGGGTAAAGATTTGTAGTCCAATTGGCAAGCAATGGCCGTGGTCTAAGCAAGAGATAATGAGTTTCCAAATTAAGCCCCTGGAGTTGGAGAACAGGTAGGTATGGCGTATTTAAGTGATGGAATCCATAGCCTTCAAAAAGAACTAAATGTGTACGTGTTAAGTGTGTATACAGTGAGGTGTTACATTATATCCTCCACTTGGCTACCAAAAAATGAGTTATACATACCCCAAATGTTACGCCTTTAGCCCAAACCATCGATATACATTTCATTCAATTATCCTTTCTTTCACATTTACTTTCCCAGTTAATAATAATTTATTGATTATTTATTGATTTACTAATAATTTATTGCCTGGCAGAGGAATGTAAAGGTCAACAAGACTTGCTCACGCCTATCTCCCAGAAATTTTTGCTGATAGTGAGAAAAGAGAGAAATTCCATTTTTCTTTGTTCTAATGTTTAACCACAGACAGCTTTTAAAGTCAGAAAAAGTCCAAGAAGTTAACCCTTGTTATTTTGAGATTTGACTGGTGTTTTGCTTTCCCATCTTCCCAGCTCAGTGGGTTGTAGGAAGTCCCCTTGCACATGACCTCCTGTACTGAGGGCTAAATTAGTTATTTTTGGATGACCACGAGGGTATCACAAAGCTGCTTGGGCTCCACCCTGTATTGCCAGTTTCCTTCCTAGACAAGCCCCTCACAGACAGAAATCACCTGCCTTTTCTCTTAATTCTCTTCTTCTAGACATTGTTCTGATCTTCCTTTAAAAAAAAGATAACTATATAGGTAATATTTAATTGCATTTTTATGTAAAAAAATGATCATCAGTGAACTAGTCAGCATAGATTAGGAAATGCTGCATTAATAAAAAATATTAACATCTCCGTGACAGAGCTGTGAGGTGTATTTCTTCCCCCTGATGCAGGCCCTGAGGGCCATCTTGGGTTCTGTTTTGCCCTGTCCTTCACTTCAGGACACAGGCTACTGGGGCAGCCACGATGCACCATCTGGAGGATCCAGAGCACAGGCAGTGCCAGGGCAGAGAGGAGTATTTAGTGATCAGCACAACCGCCCTGAAAGTTCACACGTTGAGGGACACAGACTCCTGCTTTACATTCCATCGGTCAGCACAGGGCACGTGGCCGCATTTCACTACAAGGGTGGGAATAAAATATAGAATTCGTTCCTACCGTATGCCTGGAAGGAGGAGAAATTGAATACTTCTCAACAACTTTAATGAGGAATCGAGGTTTTCTCTTCTGAAAACCAAACTTTCTGTCCCTTCTCCTTTCCACGTGCAAATACTCACACCTCTTCCACAGGTAACCCGCTGAAGTCCTGAAGTGGCATTGAGCTCAAGGTCCAGCATCTCTGGAGGATACTGAATCATCTCATCACCAGGGAGAGTGTGCGGTCGTCTCCAGCTCTGGTAGAAATCTGGGACCTCTTGAGGCTTAGGAGATAGATAGCAAACCTACCTGGCTCCTCCCAACACACCAAGCCCTGCTTTTCCGAAAGAAGAATGGGAGACACGCAGTTGGCAAAGGTCTGCAGCAATTCCTAAATTCCACGGGGAGAATGTATTCAGAGGCCCCCTATCTGGGGAGTGTGGAATGTTTGGAATGTTCCCTGATTAGGTCCTCAGTCAGTGCCCTGGGAGTAGCTTGGGCTCACTTGTCCTTTGTTCTCTGTGGTCCTCTGAAAGTACTTTTTTCATTATCCTCCTTCCCTAATGATGGAAACGGCATTGGGGAATATTGCCCTCCTTAGGAACTAAGAGGCTTTTCTTCATTCCACTTCTTGCCCAGAAACTGCAGGCTGGTACAAGGGTTAATTTCAAAGAAACAGACAGTTTGAGATTAACATATACACACTACTATATGTAAAATAGATAATCAACAAGGACCTCCTGCATAGCACAGGCAACTACACTCAATATTCTGTAATAACTTATATGGGAAAAGAATCTGAAAAAGGATGGATATATGTATAACTGAATCACTTTGCAGTACACCTGAAACTAACACAACATTGTAAATCAACTATACTACAATATAAAATAAAAATTTAAAAAAAACAACACAATCTCCTTTAGTGCAAGCAGATGAGTCTTTTGACAATAAAATTCAAACAAAAATTCTTTTAGAGTTTTGTTAATTGAGCTTTTAACTTTCAGAATATTTGGTGCAAAGCTCCATTAAATATGGAGTGTCTGGTTGCCTCTAAGTGTGCCTGCCGCCACGTGGACCTGATTGGAATCCATAGATAAGACACTAATAAGACAATGCAACTTTTATCCCTCGAACAACTGCCATGATGCTTTTACCTACATTAAATATCATACTCTTGTATGTCTTTCTGAATGAATATTATACTGGGACCATTTTCTTTTTCAAACGTTTATCGAAATTTATCTTTATGTATATATTTTACCTTATTCACTCGGACTGCCCTTGCTTTCAAATTGTATATCTGGTTTCCTTTATTATCACTTCCCTTTTTCAAAATGTGTGCTTGAATTGGTTTCAGATATATATTATCTGTCCTTCCTGTTCCACCAATAACCCCTGAGAGGCCTTATCTGGTCCTTCTGCAAACACCTCACCACCACCACCATGGGGCAGTAACAGTGGCTGAAACACAGGTGAAGGGACTTTTTTTCCCATGACACAGATTTATCATTGATTTCTTGAGAGAAGCGGCATTTCCTAGTGTTCTTGGGAAGCCAGATGATCTGAAACATGGGTACAAAAGAAATTTTGTCATCCCTCAGAAAGGTAATGTCACTAATAATGTGGAACATCACAATAATATAATAATAATCATCATCAAATTTCTCTCTCTTTAAATTCATAAATGGGAGTCAAACTTCTATGAGAGTACTTGTCTCCGTTCTAGGCTTTGGGAATAGATTGGTGAGAACAAAAAGTCTCTGTCTTCATCTGGAGCTTATGCTCTGATGGGAGAAGGCAAGCAGTCAACCTCTAGAGAAGGAAAATAAATCATATGCAAATTTATATTGTTTGTTGTTGTTTTTACTTTTTAAAAACCTTATGGATTCCAAAACAATTCCTGGAAAGTTGGTAGGGGTGGAGGTGAATCTTATGTTGGACATGATCATAGCTACAAGAGAGCCTGTAAAACTGATACATTAGCACTGAGGTATGATGGTCGCTCAGCTTCTTACTGGTAACTTCAGCCCTCATTTCTTCTTGAATACAGATCTTTACTAAGATCTGCCACAACCATAAATGAACTTTTACTCTGAGATACCTTAATCCATTCCCAGGTTTTACCATTGTGTGAGATGTATTCTAAATAATGTTTTGTATGTTCACAATGCATCTGTTTGTTCCACTGAATTTGTATTGGTTGGATTTTTTTCTTGACATAGAATATTGTGTATTTCACTCTGAAATTTGCTTTTTTTTTCACTAAACAATATACCTTACAGATACATGTTATCTATTTTATAGTATTTGATAGTAATTCCCACATTGATAGACACAGGATTTTTCCAATATTTCCTTACAACAAATAAATCTGCAATTAATATCATTGTATACATTGTCTTGAACATTGAAATAATTCTCCAGAGTAGGTCTTTTTTTTTTTTTTTTTTTTTTTTTTTTGCGGTATGCGGGCCTCTCACCGTTGTGGCCTCTCCCGTCGCGGAGCACAGGCTCCGGACGCGCAGGCCCAGCGGCCACGGCCCACGGGCCCAGCCACTCCGCGGCACGTGGGATCCTCCCGGACCGGGGCACGAACCCGTGTCACCTGCATCGGCAGGCAGACTCCCAACCACTGCGCCACCAGGGAAGCCCTCCAGAGTAGGTCTTGAAAGTGGAATTGCTGAGACTTAAGATATGCATTTTTTCTTTTAATAGATACTGTTAAATTTTCAACAAAAAAGGGCCATACCAATGTCCCATCTATGGCAACCAGTTTCCATGGATCTGCCAGTATTTTCTATTATCGAACTTCATGTGTTGTTAGACTGTTGGGTAGAAAAGGTTCATTTCTATTTTCATTTGCATTTTTCTTGATCACTAGAGAGGTTAACATTTTTTTTTCTTTTAGTTTTTATATGTTTAATGGTCATTTATATTTTTTCCTCTTGAATTTCTTCTTAATATATATTGCCAGTTTTCTTATGAACTGCTCATTGTTTATTTGATTTTTTAATTAATTCATGAGAAAATAATTTTTGTTACAGTACTACAATCAATATTTCCTACAGTCCATGATTTACAATTTTTTTGGCTTTTGTTTTACCTCACAAAATTTGAAAGTTTATTGACCTCAATATTTTTCATTATATCAATTGCTTTATGTACACCATGCCCTATGTTGATAAATATATTATCTCATATTCCTTCTTGTATTTTGTATACTTTTTTACCTGTAGGTCTAAAACCCATGTAAAATGTATTTCATGGGGATATATGTATACATATAGCTGATTCACTTTGTTATACAGCAGAAACTAACACATCATTGTAAAGCAATTATACTCCAATAAAGATGTTAAAAAAAGTAAAATGTATTTCTGTGAATGTTGAAAACTATGGATTAATTTAATATTTTCCCAAATGTGTAGCTAGTTTTTCCAATACCATTTAATGTATTAGAATTTCTCTTCAATATGAAGACAACATTTATCATGTAAGAAATTCCCTTGTATACATAATTTCTGCTTCTGGATTCCCTGATTTTTTCTATTGGCTTGTTTGTATTTATTTTTTCTATTAGCAGACCGCTTTGCTATTGAAAAGTTTATAGTATGTCATGGTATTTGTTAGGACAAATACCATGTGTTTGTTAGGACAAATACCATACCATTTGTTAGGACAAATTTGTTAGGACTTCCCTCTTTTTTTTTTTTTTTTTAAAGCTGTCTTAGTTATTCTTACACATTTCTCTTTTGCTTGAATTTTAGAAATAGCTTACCAAGTTCCATGAAAATCCCCCCTTTGTTCATGATTTTTTCCTTTCTCTTTTGACCACAGTTGTCAAAGATTTATTCATATTATTAACCTTAAAAAATACAGATTTTTCTGGGTAGAGAACTACAAACCCAAATAGCTTCTTTTTTAAAATCTAGTTAGATTCTCACTTTTTCCAGGCATTCTATCAAATCCCATTTGGAGTTTCTCTTTCTAATCGATGTGCTGAAACATTCTAATTGATATGAATTGAATGGGATTTTTTTTTTTTTTTTTTTTTTTGGTACGCGGGCCTCTCACTGCTGTGGCCTCTCCCATTGCGGAGCACAGGCTCCGGACGCGCAGGTTCAGCGGCCATGGCTCACGGGCCCAGCCGCTCCGCGGCATGTGGGATCTTCCCGGACCGGGGCACGAACCCGCGTCCCCTGCATCGGCAGGCGGACTCCCAACCACTGCACCACCAGGGAAGCCCTGAATGGGATTTTTTTAAAAACGTTTGTTTCATTTATCTTGCTTGGGATTCTTTAGACCTTTCATTTTGAGAACTTATATCTTAGATCGGAAATGAGGTTATCAGTTAGAACTCAGTTTTTGATATAAAATACATAGATTTTTAAATAAATATAAATGTGAATTTGTGTATACACACACACACACGCGCACACACATACATGCATACTTTTCTTAACTCTGCCCCCTGGGAGTTTCTTAGAACAGTGACACTGCCAATTAGCACACCTAGCCCCGGATCTTGGATTTTAAGTACCGTTTTCCAATTAAAAAAAAAAAAAAAGGTCCCTTATAGAAATCACCAATTCTAAAGCTGGGGCTGGAAAAGTTCAAGATAATTTTGGAATATATTTTTATACCAAAAAGTAAGGAAGTGCTCACAGAATAATGGGATGCATCCAAAGCACACAGGAGCCAGCTTGAACAGACCCCCTCCGGCCAAATTTGAGGTAATTTGGGCATCAACATAAACATATAAAATGTGAATTCATGAATCCATATTGAATATGCATATTAATAAGCACATTAGTCATAAATAAATAAACAAGAGGGAAAAGTCCTTTTTTACAGCAGAAAGGCAAATAACAAGTGCAGATGGCATAATATATTCAGAAAACCACAATTTGAAACCCACCACAGTAATAACTGTTTTAGTCAAGAATCATCAACAGATACGAAAACAGGTGGGTGAAAATTTGATGAGAAACCTTAACAAAGTGAACGAAGTTAGCATCACCATTAATGAGAAAAACAGACACCTCCTGATGGCAGTTCCGTCAATCTAACCATGAAGAGGCTTCAGAAAATTCCCAGCTGAGGGTTATTCTACAACATAAATGGCCACTACTCTTCAAAAATATTAGAATACCATGAAAGACCAAGAAAGGCTGAAGAACTATTTTGAATCATTAGAGAATAAAGACACAAGTAAACCAAATGCAACATTAATCCTGGCTTGGATCCTGGACCAGAAAAAAGTATAAAATCCTTGTGCTATAAAGTAGTCAGTAGGACAAATGACAAAACTTGACTAAGGCCTGTAGATTACATAACAGTGCTGTACTGATGCGAATTTCCTGATTTGGAAAACTGTACACACTCTGGATTCGTAAAAGAATGTTCTTGTTTTTTAGGAAATACACACGGAGGGAAAGGGGCATTGTCTTTGCAAATTACTCTCAAATGGTTGAGAAAAGAATTTACATAGACATTAAGAGAGAGAGAGACAGAGAAAGAGAGGGAATGATAAAACATGGAGTAAGCATAAAATTTTTTCAAAACAAACACATAAGACAAATTCCTTCAAATATGCATTATTGGTGAAGTATCATGTAACATCTGGGCACAGCAAGCAAAAGGATGCAGGCTATGAAAGTTCCATCACAGGCAAATTACCAGAATCACATGCTTCCCTGCCCTCTTGAATGAGGGAGTTAGCAGGAACAGCGGCCAGCTCTAGACGATGCTATCTCTACAGTGTGTTGGCAGAACAAGAATATAGTTTGAACAAATGCAGAGTTTTGGCATTTGCCAGCTGAAAGCAGGCGATGAGCGAATGCCACATAAATAGTTATCAATCTTGGCTCAGTTTACAGCAAAGACCATCACTAAAAGGGCACCAAGGCAGGCCGGCTTGCTTTAGAAAATGAAACCAGTCCAGATCCAGGAATCACTCACACAGACCCCAGGTGGAACTTTACAGTATGCCTTCCAAAAGCCCTAGACATGGGACAAGATGAAATATTAGGCAAGTGCAATCTCTTCCCTTGTGAAACTGCAGGACACAAAGAAAACATGAGGTTTGCCTCAATTTAGTCTTTGGGTGACCGGTGGTGACATTAATGAGTTGTCCTTTGAAAGAATAGGGCAGTGGTGAGTGGGTGATACCTTCATGAGAAGGTCAACAAAATGAATATTTTTCCCTGCATCCAGTGATAAAAAATTTTACATAAACAGCTTCCTCATTACTGGAAATGTAGACTCAATAGAAGAAAGATGTTCAAGGGTTGTTTTTCCATTGGGCTCTGGAAAGGAGACTTATTTTAAATTTGCCTCCTATGACTTTTTATTGTCCATAAAGGGCTGTTAATGTAGGGATCCGTGTTTCTGAAATCACTCATATTTCTTTTGAAGTCTTCTCACTTCCTTTGCCATGACTATTTCAAAGCAACTGAGTTTTGATCTCTAAAGAAAGCTGAGAGTTCTGTGGGAAAGAGCCCGCTGAGCCAGCGAAAGGGCCCTGACCCGACTCTTTGCTCTACGTCCTCATGCTTCTTCCATTTGTCTGCAACTGTTAGCTCAGGGCACCCATTCACTTGTTCATTTATTCATTAATCTGTATGTTCACCCAGCAGGTGTTCACAGAGCCCCTGCAACGGGTCCAGCACTGCTGAAAGAAAAAAGTCTTGTACTTTAGTGACAATACACACAGGAAATACACACAGGAAATAATCATGTCCAGGGCATTTGTTGCTCCTTCATTTCTAAGTAAGTTATACAAACTAAAAGGGGTCAAAATTCAGATGAGTTTCTTTCCTAAACTCACTGTCAATTTATGGCAGGGGTGAAGTTACCAGGGTGGTAAGGTAAGATAGCAGGGTGGCTGGGAGAGGCTTGGAAAAGGGACCGTTCCACTGGACCCTGAAAATAGGTGGGATTTAGAAAGTCAGAATGAAAAGGTAATCACGGGTGAGAGGTCCGATTAATGACAGTGTGCTCAGGGAACAGTGACGAGGTTGTTCCTGGGGGTGACTAGTGTGAAAAAAGTGGGAAAATGTTTATCTTGTCGTGGCCACAACGCTGGGCTCCCTGGTGGCCGTATCAAGAATGTAACACAACGTCCTTCCATGTCCTCTTTTTTCCTCTCTCTCTCCTTCCTTCCAGTCTTTTCTTCCTTCCAACAGATTGCTGGGTAGAACAAGACTCTGTTATTCATGACTTCATATTATTATTCTAAGGATGTGGGAATTTAGCCTATAAAACGTTGGGGGTTGTGCTGCCTTAAATTCCTAGCTTACCCTCCTCCACTGTCTTTTTTTTTTTTTTTGGGCCACGTGGCATATGGGATCTTAGTTCCCTGACCAGGAATCGAACTCATAACCCCTGCAGTGAAAGCAGTGAGGAGTTTTAACCACTGGACCGCCAGGGAAGTCCCCTCTTCCACTGTCTTTACCAGTTCCTAAATGATTTTATAACTGGAGAATCCCATTATTCTTTTTTTTTAAAATTTTTATTGGAGTATAGTTGATTTACAGTGTCATGTTAGTTTCAGGTGCACAGCACAGTGAATCAGTTATACATACACATACACCCACTCTTTTTTTAGATTCTTTTCCCATACAGGCCATTATTGAGTAGTAGAGTTCCCTGTGCCCTACAGTAGGTCCTTATTAGTTTTCTCCATAATTCGAAAAGATACATGCACCCCAATGTTCATTGCAGCACTATTTACATGGAAAATAGCCAGGACATGGAAACAACCTAAATGCCCATCAGCAGAGGAATGGATAAAGAAGATGTGGTACATATATACAATGGAATATTGCTCAGCCATAAAAAAGAACAAAATAATTTGCAGCAACATGGATGGACCTAGAGATTGTCATACTGAGTGAAGTAAGTCAGACAGAGAAAGACAAATATCATATGATATTGCTTATATGTGGAATATAAAAAAAGAGTACAAATGAACTTATTTACAAAACAGAAGTAGAGTTACAGATGTAGAAAACCAAACTTATGGTTACTGGGGTTTAGAGGGGTGGGAGAAATTGGGAGATTGGGAGTGACATATACACACTACTGCATATAAAATAGACAACCAATAAGTCCTATTATTCTTTTCAAGAGGTTTCTGGCATCATAGTGGGTTCATTTCAAGCAACAAAAGCAGGCACAAATTATATGTCAGGTGATTTTATTCAGAAGTTAGGAAAATGAAAGAAGTTTGTCTCTCCTTCTTCTCCCTTTTCTTAAATCAATAGAAATGTTGAAATTCAGCCAGCTCTGGCTTCTTACTCAAGGCACACAGTAAGGTGCAAAGGAAAACCAGAAATGGGATTATGTGCATGGCTGTTTGAACATTTATTTCTCAATTAATTTCTTATGTGTCCTTGGTAAAGCCAAGAGGAGTCCAATTTGGTTCGATGATGAGGCCGTATAGTATTGTCAAAAGAGAATTGGTCAATTTGCAGAAAGCCATTTTGCCAATAGATCAGGTTTTTTAAAAATCCTATTTGCCAAGTAGTGAGGATATTTCAAAGTTTTGACATTGTTTCAGCCCCTATTCAGCCCTTGCACCTACATCTTTTCTTGTTCCTATTCTTGCCATTTTATATGTCGATGGAGAGCCTTTCCTTTTACGATTTTTAGTCTCTTTATTTTTGTAGATTTGGGTCTTGATTCTGTACTTACTTTAGCCCGAGACGTTATGAGAAATTTTACACTTCTACAGGGTCTGGCACTATGCCATGACTCTTTCTGTGCCAGTGATTAAAGGAAAGGCCAACTACGTTCGTAAAAAATTAACAGGCTGGAGTAGAAGAAAATGCAGGGGCAGGGTTGCTGGAAAAGGTAGGAGGAGCAGGGGTAAGCGTTGAAACTGAAAAGAAAACTTTGAAAGACACTTCGACAATTAAATAATTTATTAAATTTATGAAATACAATAGTTGAATAAATTGATCATTCAATTGGATTCACAGGACCCTGCTCTTAAAGCAAATTGACCTGAAGCCAGTGGAAAGCCACAAAGCTCTACGATGAATGCAACACCCTGAATGATGGCCTTCACCCCTCCTCAGTTATTAGGTCTTGCTTTGTTTTTCCTGTCCTCTAAGAGAGACATGTGGCCCAGGTGGTACAAAGATGGTCTTCAAGGTCCCTTCTGGAAGGGTGCCTAGACTTTTCCTGTTAGTACCACATATTTTTAGGAGTTTATTTTAAATATTACAGATGAAAAATTATTTAAATTCTTGCAAATGTATGAATACAATTAAGATATGTTGCTGCTTTAACCTTTTTTTTTAAGTGCTATTTTATTTGTTTCACAAAATTTAAGGCAACAGTGAAAATCTAGGACCTTCAAAGGACTCTTTGGGCCGGGCTAAGTGGGAAGGGGTGGGGACAAAGTTAGGTGTGGTTATTCTGTTCCGGGACCATCTCAACAATGCGGAGCCCTTATTGTCTTTCAACAATTGTATCTCCACTTTGTTTCTGAGAAGCGTGGGCCTCAGCCTCCATGCCGTCTCTTTTCTGTTCAACAATTTGCTGTTGTGCTCAAGATTCCGCTCCAGTGAAACTCACAGTCCATAAATTAAACAATAAAGGAGAGAGTAGGCAGATGACTAAGCTCCTTTTTCTAAGTACTTGGAACAGCCTGGCTATGGCAGCACCCAGACTATTAATCAGCAAACTTGGCAGGATTTTAATGTTGCCCTTTATGAGTGGACACTTGTGTAGGCTTTTAACTTGTAAGTCTAGTCATTGAGACGACAGTCAACAGGGCAGTTGTATACACGGTGAAGTTACTTTATTGAGTTTTGTCAATTTTTTTTTATGTTGACAAAACTCAGCACATGTGAACATTTTTTAAATAAACTTTTTATTTTAGAATGGTTTTAGAGGTACAAAATTATTGTGGTGGTAGTACAGACAGATCCCATATACTCCAACCTGTTTTCCATTTTGATTATGATTATAATATTTTATTAGTATGGTACATTTGTCACAATTAATGAACCAATATTAATACATTATTATTAATTAAAACGAAAAAGCTCCTTGTTGTGGGCCTTAGTTACAATTTTTTGGAAATTACACCTGAAGCACAAGCAACAAATAAAAAATAAACAAGTGGTACTGTATCAAACTAAAAAAAGCATCTGCACAGCAAAAGAAGACATTGACAATGTGAAAAGACGAATTACAGAATGGGAAAAAATATTTGCAAACCGTATATCTGATAAGGGGTTAATATCCATAACATATAAAGATCTCATACAACTCAATAGCAAAAACAAAAACCCAAATAACCTAATTAAAAAATAAGTGAAGGACTTGAAGAGACATTTTTTCCAAAGAAGATATATAAAAGACTAATAGGTACATGAAAGGATGCTCAACATCACTAGTTATTAGGAAAATACAAATTAAAACCAAAATAAGGTATCACCTCATGTCTATTAGCACAGCTGTCATCAAAAAGACAAGAGATAACAAATGCTGGAGTGGATGTGGAGAAAAGGGAACACTTGTGCACTGTTGGGAATGTAAATTGGTTCAGCTACTATGGAAAACAGCATGGATGTTCCTCAACAAATTAAAAATAGAACTACCATATGATCCAGCAATTTCACTTCTGGGAATATATCCAAAAACACTAACTTGAAAAGAAAGTTTGCATTACATTGGCCCTAGAATGAATAAACAATCCAGAAACAGTTCAGAAAGCAAGTTCCACTATACAAAGTAAGTAGGTTTTTTCCTTCAGTTCATTTAAGTTAATTTTTGTGAGTGGTGTAAGATAGATTTTAAGTTTCATTCTTTTACATGTGGATATCCAATTTTCCCAGCACCATTTATTAAAGGGACTGTCATTTCTCCACCGAGTATTCTTGGCTCTCTCATCAAATATTAGTTGACTGTATATACTTGGGTTTATTTACAGGCTCTCAGTTCTGTTCTATTGGTCTATTTGTCTGTTTTTATGCAAGTACCACACTGTTTTAATTAATTTAGCTTTATAGTATAGCTTGAAATAAGGAAATGTGATGCCTCCTGCTTTGTTCTTTCTCAGGATTTCTTTAGCTGCTCAGGGTCTTTTGAGGTCCCATATATATCTTAGGAGTACTTTTTTCTATTTCTGTTAAATAATGCCATTGGAATATTCATAGTGATTGCACTGAATCTACAGATGGCTTCTGGTAGTATTGACATTTTAACGGTATTAATTCTTCCAATCTATGAGCATAAGCTATCTTTCCATTTATTTGTTTCTTCCTTGATATCTTTCACCAATGTCAAGTTACTTTTCTTCCCCTGTCTTTTTCTATACTGTACTCCTTGGAAAGAAATTGCTCTGTGGAGCCCACACTTAAGGAGTGGGAAGTTATAGTACATTTCCTTAAAAGTGGAGTGTGTGTATAAATTATTTGGAATTTTTCTGCCTGAGGAATTTATCTATTCTCTCCATTTATTTATTTATTCAATCATTTATTTGTATAAGTATGGATTAATGGATACTAATTTTATACTTTGGATTATAATCCAATACTACTTTATTTATTCTGTTGCTCAAATTTTTCTAGCTTTGACTATTGGGACTTCTTTTCTTTGGTGCCCATGTTCCTTCAACATACCCCCATCAGTTTGGGCTTTTAAAATTTTGAGCAGTTTTTTACTTTCTGGAACTATAAGATGACCCAGGCTCATCTTGTACATTTCCTGTCCTAATCCAACAGTCAGCCATGTCTCCAGGGAGCCTTGGTTTATTTGGCTGGAGAATGATATTAGAAACCAAGATCTGGGTGCTAGCTGTGCCCCTTGCTACTGTCATTCATGTAAATATTTAAAATCTGAGTTTCATCTGGAATGTTGATGCTAATCAATTAAATTCTAGGATGATGAGGTAGTATAAGCACTTCATTAACACCAATTCCTAGAAATTCTTCAAATACCGTGAAAATCAAGTCCAGTCTCAGGAAAGGATGAGAATAAAAGGGAATTTGAGGTTGTAGTATGGGAAATGTGGGAATTCCTGTTCAATATTTCACAAGTAGGCTTCCTCAATTGTAAGGTAAGAAAAATACCTTCCTCTTCATTAAAAAGAAAAGGAAAACAACCTACTCAGTTTGTAGAGTGGAATTTGCTTTCTGAACTGTTTCTGGGATAGTTTGTTCATTCTAGGGTCAATGTAATGCCAACTTAGGGACTAAATGGAGAATACCATTGGTATACTGCCACCACCTTCTGCCATCTAGTTTCTCAGCATTTATTTTTTACTCAATAAAATATTACTTGAGCACCTCCTGTGGAGGACAAATTTTAGAAGTCTGATGTTCTGGTTACTATTGCTGCACAGGAAGTTATCCCAAAATGTAGTGGTACAAAACAGCAGCCTTCTAACTGTGCTCACTCTTTTGCGAATTGGTTATTGAGGAAGAACTCAGCAGAGGCAGGTGTCGGGAGTGCTAAGAGCGTTGATAGGCTGGCCCCAACTGTCTGTTGCTGCTTGAGAAGAGCTAAAGGGTGCTGGAAAGCAGGAGGAAGTGCCTTCTTCCTTCCTTCTTCCGTTCTGTCTCCCACTGCCTCTCATTGTCAGATGCTCATCAGAAGCAAAATGGGAAGCCCCAGCATCACATGCAGAGGACAGAGGATGGGCTTGGGAATGAGAGTAAGTAAATAGCACAGGAAAAATTATGAACTGCTGAAGACTTCTTTGAACATCAAACCTTGAATTGTATCCATTTTTTTTAAATTAATTTTTTGGCTGCGTTGGGTCTTTGTTGCTGCGCGCGGGCTTTCTCTAGTTGCAGTGAGAGGGGGCTACTCTTGTTGCGGACACGGGCTCTAAGCACACCAGCTTCAGTAGCTGTGGCATGTGGGCTCAGTAGTTGTGGCTCGTGGGCTCAGTCGCTCCATGGTATGTGTGATCTTCCCGGATCAGGGATGGAACCCATGTCCCTCGCATTGGCAGGTGGATTCTTAACCACTGCGCCACCAGGGAAGTCCCGAATTGTATCCATTTTAAATAAAAATTAAAAATTGCACTCTTTTTCACAGAAGATTCTAAATTTAATTTTTCTTGGTGTCTTATGATCAGCAGGGTTTTTTGCTGTTTATCATATATTGTTTCCTCAGGACCTATTTTGCTGGATAAGATTCCATGTCCCTCCCCCAATATCACATGTTCTGTATTCTTTGAGATACTACTGATTGTTTAGTTTTTTTCTTCTGTCTGTTGAATAGGTTCAAACGAGTTACATCATTGCTGAAACTGAACCCTGCCTATTTCTTTATTCTAATGTCTTTATTTTAAACTGATACTGACTTAGCTCTCAAATGTGAAAATGTATTTAGTGTGGCATAAAATAACCATAAATGGGCTTGAATAAATTCCCGAAGGGTTTGTGTACAAGTCAAATGGCTAAATCTCATTGGAGGCACCATCATCCTTTATAGTTACCTAGAGGCTTTGCTTCTAAGTTCTGGATATGTAAGCCTGTTGAACACCTGATTTCTGATTTGGGGTAGTATTAAGTATAGAATGTTTTCAGTATTTCTCTCTTTTTTTCTCTATTCCTTCTTTTTTCTGTTTAGGAAAAGAAGTTAGGCTTTAACTTTGAAGACAGCTGTTTTTCTGGTATATGGTTGTCTTATTACTTTAGGTGGGTAGGTATTTAGAAGAGCCATAGCAAATTTTTTTTTTCTTTTTTTTTGTGGTACGCGGGCCTCTCACTGTTGTGGCCTCTCCCGTTGCGGAGCACAGGTTCCGGACACGCAGGCTCAGCGGCCATGGCTCACGGGCCCAGCCGCTCCGCGGCATGTGGGATCTTCCCGGACCAGGGCACGAACCTGTGTCCCCTGCATCGGCAGGCGGACTCTCAACCACTGCGCCACCAGGGAAGCTCTCATGGCAAAATTTTTATCTTCTTATTTACCTGGTCTCCACGTGTCTCCAAGCAGCAACTGATTTTAGAGATGACATGAGAAAGTAGTTGGGCAAAAGTACCTTGGAGAGTAAGTCTCAATGTCTAAGGTGTCCAATTGTACCTTCCACAGCCAGGACCTGATTATTTTTTGTCTCTCTTGTTCTCTAGGGCGGCAGAGTAACTTAAAAGCATATGTGGCTCACTCCAAAGCGCGTAATGTGAAGCTCAAAATGTAACTAATACATTTTTTATCAAAAGAAAATGCCTTGACTTATCAAAAGTTATTCAAACACACACAAAAAATCATTTCTCTTGCTGATGGCAGGTTTGATTTTTGCTAGATCATCATCAGTCAAATCTTTATCCTCCCCATCAAGGAAGGTTATTCCATTTCAGATCGTTTTAGTAAGTTTGGGGATGTCTTCCATAACACAGAAATATGTCCAGAATATATTTCTTATCCTAATATCTGCTTCTATTGGAATTATTTTTAGAATACATATCTCCCTCGCTATAGGTTTGAGTGCCCTGAAAAGTTGTCTGAATATCTGATTGAAGAGTATTTACACTCAGAAAGTCCTATGGATGGATTAGAAGAGATCCGTGGTCTCTGAGGTAATTCAGTGAAATATTAGATGATTCTTTTTGTAATAGATGATGGATGCAGCTGTATATTATATATTACACACACAGGAATTGTCCTTATTACAAAGTAAGTGAACCTGAACTAATACTGTGCAAAATACATTTTCCACAGCAATTAAGAATAAACTATAAGTGATTCACTAAAATGTTACCTAAAGCTTCAAACTATACAGAATTGCAAGTGATGGGCAAACATCACTACAGCATGGTTCTGGGGTTAACTACAATACTTTCCTATTGTGTTCTCATGAAGGTATCAGTGAGGCAGCTGAAAAATTCAGATTGGGACTGCTAAAGCTACAAAAGAAAAATGAGTGCTCTGTATAAAGGGTGCCCAATGTGAAGAAGACACAGAATGCAACTCTGGGGACAAGGAAAGAAAACCTAGGAAGTGTTCAGAGATTTAGGAGGAGAATATAAGACAGTGAGACCACAAAGCCAAGGGGACACTTTCAAGTAAAAGTGAACATTCGATTGAAAGATCAAAGAGGATGAGAATTGAACATCGGTTACTGGTATCTCTCTCATCTGAATCTAGACAAATAAAATGTAACAGCTCAATTTAAACTAGGTGTGTCTAATTCCACAATCTGTGATCTTTCCACCGTTCCATGCTACTTGTTATTAAAATCAAACAAACGTACAAAGAAACCCGAGGTCCTGAAAAGACAAGTCAAATACCTATAGGCATAGAAATATATGCACTAATTATATGTTGATCCCACAGCTGGTAGATTCTTCACTGATCTAGACACTGGGCATCGACTGGCCAATAAAGTAGGTATGATGTCTGCCCCTTGTGGAGCTTCCAGTCCTATGAAGTTGCTAGATATTAATCAAATAGTCATATTTAACAAGAGCTATGGAGGAAAAGTAACACGGGGTTCTAGAAGGATATAAGAAGAAGGACCCAACTTGGTATGAAATTCAATGATGGAATCTATTGGAACAGAAATCTCCAGAGAGGCAGCAGTCGGTGAGATGGGATGAGCTTGGTTGGGGCTGACAGGTGATGATAGGAGAAACCCTGTTGAGTGCTGACAGGTGATAGGAGAAACCCTGTTGAGTGCTGACAAGCTAGGGACGTCCAGGAGAGGTCAACATGGGCCAGATTATGTAAAAAAAAGCCATGTTTGTAGGTCTTTGTTTAAGATCTCCTGTGTAAGGCGAAGCCTTTACAAGGTATTGATTTTATATTTAATTCCTACACCTTCCTGAGACCCTTAGCAATGAACAGCAGTGCTTCAAACAGGAAAATCAACATTATGGCTTTTCCTGGTAGCAAAGTGCAACTATTTTTTTTCCTTTCTTCCTCTTCACTAAGCCAATTTAGAGACCACTGGACTTACCTTTGTAACACTGACATCAAAATAGCCATGACTTGGCACAAATCTGAGAGCTAGTTGCTGGGAGAACGCTACTGGCGCAATCCTACCAGGTGGACCCAACTATACAAACGCAGTATTAGAACAGAGAGGACAGTGAAAGATACCAGGATGGAAGAGACAGTGCCTTTGATTTTAAGATGCAGCAAACACACAAATTTTTCTTTTGAGAAAACAGTGTTAATCTTGTTTCAGTAATAGTTAGGGTGACAGTCACACACCTAACATTTCTCTTGTAGACGGGGAACTCACCAAATCTGTTTGCCACATGAGTCTTTGCCTAGGGACAATGGTGCAGCTCAGCTGA